TCTCATAGAGAAGCAGGAAACGGTTTTATATGATCATTGTAGTTTCCTAACAAAAATAAATGTGAATCAACATGAGTCATTGATTATATATGCATAGGTATACAACTTTAATGAGATATTCAATCAAAGAATTAAATATTTTAAAATATAATTATATTTTGCTATTCTCTGTGCTTTTTCCAAAAATAATATCAACACTTTCTAGTTGTTGCAAAATCATTGAACCAGATGGGGTAATTGGAGGGCTTCTTAACTCTTCACTTCCATCAAAATGCTGCTTATCAAATCACAACTTATGATCAGACTGAAGAAACCGCCGGTGACCCATGAAACAATTCTTTTGACCATGTTGCAGACGTCGCTCAGTAGCATCATAATTACAGGATGGACAAGCGAGGCTTGTATATGTATTCCAGCCAGATAGATTTCCTAACCCCGGAAAATCACTAATAGTCCACATCAAAGCTGCACGCATGGTAAACATTTTATTTTCTGAAGCATCAAATGTTTTCACACCATCAGCCCACAACTCCTTCAGTTTTTTTATCAAAGGTTGCAAGTAAACATCAATATCATTTCCAGGCATTTGTTTTCCAGGAATAATCATCGATAATATCATAGAAGACTGCTTCATTGCCATCCAAGGAGGGAGATTTTATGGAAATAAGAGAACTGGCCATATACTATAGTTCGTGCTCATACTACCAAAGGGGTTAAAACCATCAGTGGCTAATCCAAGTCGGACATTCCTAGGTTCTGCTGAAAAGCATGGAAACCTTTGATCAAATGATTTCCATGCTAAACCATCTCTAGGATGACGTAGTTTTCCATCTTTATTTTCTTGAGAAACATGCCCTTTCATATTATCTGCCGTCTTGGTTGACATAAATAATCTCTGTAAACGTGGCTTCAAAGGAAAATACCGTAAAATCTTTGCAGCTTGTCTTCTTTTCTTCTTTTTCTTTCCCGAAGCTTCCTTATCTTCTCCATTTCTGGTTTTCCATCGTGGTTTTTCACAAATCTTGCAAACATCCCGATCAATATCTTCTCCCCAATACAACATACAATCGTTTGGACAAGCATGTATTAATTTGTAATCCAAACCAAGTTTACGAATTGTCTTTTTCATATCTTGGAATGACTCTGGCAGCTTTGCATGTTTGAACGCTTCTTTTAGAAGATCAATTATCATGGAGATCTCTTTATCACTAATCCTAGTGATGCATTTGATGTGATATAACTTGAGCATAAAAGACAGCTTTGAGAATGAAGTACACCCTTCATAGAGTTCTTCACTAGCATCTGAAACAAGCTCATCAAACGCTCTTTTTTCAGCAGAATTGCGTGACTCATCACAAAAATCTTCTGCATTAGGCAACTGATCAGATGAACCAACTCCAGCTTCAAAATCTCTACCAATGGTTGGGAATACATCATCTGATAGCTCCATTGTTGAATCTTCAACTAAATTGATATCACTATCAATTTGTTGCTGAGTTTCTATTGGCATTGGAGTTTCTACGACATTCAATCGTTCTCCATGTAAATACCAATTTGTATAAGTGGGTAGAAACCCATTATACATCAAATCTCCATATATCTCATCTCTATACTTATACTTTATTAGGCAACACCGACGACATGGACATTTTAACATGTCTGCATTATTTTTAGAAAATGCAAATTCTAAAAATCTTTCCACCCCAGCAATGTATTTTTGAGATAAACGAGGTTCTAAGATCCATGACTTATTCATATTAATCTAAATCAAGGCAAAAACATAAACAATGGGTTATTTTCCTATTTATTAGTTATAAGAGTCAAGATTGGCATTAATAAAGCATCTATGTAGTCAAAACCCAGAACACAAGACCATAATGAACATATCTAAGAGTATAAAACATAGAATTAAGAAGATGAGAAAGAGCTCATGAACGATAAAAACAGGATATACTTTCTAGTCGATGGTCAGCTTACAATACCATATATTTCACAGAACAGATCACAAAGAGCATAAAAGATCAAGAGACGTACCTGGAATATAGCTCAAAGAAGTGTATGTAGTGAGTTATTGTTTCCAGCAGTTCCAGCGAGAGAATAATCGATTTGATTTCTGATATGTATAGCAAACTCATAGTTAATTATCAGCTGAAATCAAAGCACAAAGTTTCGAAATATGTACAGCATTTCAATGAAAATTGATATCCTAATCTAACCTTAGATTAAAGAACCCTAAATTTTCATTCTAAATCAATTCCAATCACGGTACATCACATCGACCCACAAAGACGAGTTCTATTGAATCAAAGACGGAAACGACTAATGTTGAATCAGCAATTCTCACCTGAGAATTGGAGTGACGAGAAAAATGAAACGAAGACGGTAATGCGATTTATTGAATCGGAGACATAGATGTAACTCAGTTTCGCCGGAGATAAGATTTGTTGTGACGGAGACGAAGAAGAATCGAATCAAATAAGGAGCTGAGATTATCAATGGATCGAGTTATATTTTTTAATATCCAGGAAAGCAAATCGGAGATGGCGATGAGATTAGAGGAAACGAATATAATACTAAGAAGAATCGAATCGAATCAGAGAGGGAGCCGAGATTAAGGAGAAAGAATCGATGACGGAGAAGAATAAATCTGCGGGAAACAACAACCAGCGATGAGGATATTATTTTTCTGATTTAATTTTAATAAAAAAGTATAAAATTGCATCGCTTGTTTAAAAAATGATGCAAAGGAAATATATCTAGCATCACATATAATAAGTGATGCGAATCCTTTTCTTTTGTTTTTAACTATTTATGTCAGTTTTGTAAGTGATGCTATATAAGTGATGCAAAATAATTATTTTCTAGTAGTGTAAACTTTAAAGAAAAAAAGAAATGTAGAAATTCTATGAAAAGCAAAACAAAACAAAACACAAAAATCTTAGCAAGGAAACTTTTCTCTAAATCAAACGTAGGTGCGCCGAAGTTGGATAATTTGATACGTGTCATTTTTATTATTTTACTTAATAAGATTTAAATTTTTATATAAAAAAGGAAAAGTACACATTGTATTTTAAATTCTCTTATATAAAAGGAAATATATATATATATCTCTATTATGGTTTTGATAATTTTAAAAATAGTTACTAAAAAGAATTGAACCAAACTATTGATACAGACTCGCGTGTAGCGAGAATTAAAAACCTAGTCTATACTATATAAAAGTTAAAAACATAGTGTATTGAGAGCGTCCACATGATATTAAAAAACTTGATATGACTGGTCAACATCAGCATATTCATTAAACACAAAAATGTTAAGTGTGATTAAACCTTAATTTCGTTTTAATCATGGAAAAATTAAATAAAAAAGTTTAAGTAACAAATAGAAAAGAAAATTATGTTAAAAAACTAAAAAATAGTATTCTTAAAAATAAAATATAAATTTGTTGATCGGTACGAGAAAGTGGAAATCTGTTAATTGAATCAGCTATTAATGGAAAGCTGTTAACCAAATTAACAAAACTAAATAATCGGTTCTCTCTCTCTTCTTATAAATACAAAATAATTATGTTAAAAACTAAAAAAAAAAATAGTATCCTTCAAAATAAAATGGAAATTTGTTTTCAAAAGAGATAAACTAACAAAAAAAATCAATATGATAAAATTACTCTCAAAAGATGCAAAGTATATATATAAAAAATATAAACAAAATTAATATAAAATAGTGGTATCGACAATGAGTAACTATCTGAAGTTGCAATTGGTTACAAGAGTTTCTAAATCAAATATATTTTTGAAATATAAAAAGATTAAATCACTGTGTGTTCTGATTCAAAAACTAACAAAGAAAACACTACACAGGTAATTTTACACTTGAAATTTAAAAAGCAGTAAAATTTGATTTCTATACATAACTACTACTTATATCTGAATCAATAATAATAACACATGGGTAACACATTCTAAAATTCTATTTAACTAATCAAGTATGATAGAGTTATGATTCAAACACAAATTAGTATATGTAGCTAAAATATTCAAATGAAAACATGCTGAAAAGCACACAAAAGATAACAATAGTAAAAAAAATAATGCAAAAACTCCACACCATCAATCCTACAAGTTTTAAAACTAAAATTATCAAATATTTGACTGCAAAATAAAAGATCTCAATAATAAACTGAATAAAGACATAAGCTAAAACTTGTGGAAGACCTGATGCAAAAGCAAAAAGGGCTTTGCACGATCATTGCAGCTTTCTAAATGCAAATCAATATGAATTATAGATTACATATGCATAGATACACAATATCAATGAGACACTATATAAAAATACTAAATATTTGAACACGTAAACTTTAGAGAAAAAAGGAACTGTAGAAATCCAATGTAAAACAAAACAAAACAAAACATCAAAATCTTAGCAAGAAAATTCTTCTCTAAATCAAATGTATGTGTACGCCAAAGTTGGATAATTTGATATGTGTCATTGTTATTATTTTACTTAATAAGATTAAAAATTTTAAAATAAAAATAGGAGAAATCTACAAATTATATTTTAAACTTTATTATATCAAAGAAAATTTCTATAAATTTATTATAATTTTGATAATTTAAAAGATAATAGTTAAAAATAATTAAACAAAATTATTAATACAGATTTGTGCAAGGCGAGTTATAAACCTAGTAGTCTACTAATAGATTGGTAAAGTGCTTGTAATTGTTGTTTTCTCTTATATTTAACAAAGTTACATTTGAATATTTTTCTGAACCTTTGCACTTGTTGTAGTTTTTTCATTTAGAAATATACATCAACAAGGATAAAATAGTAAAAGCAACAAAAAAACAAACCCTACCCTAATCTTCTTCCTCCGCAGTATCACAAAAACCAGTTGAGACACATAAGAAAAAGATTCCAACTTCTATCATTCGAAACCTCCGATTAAGTCGCACAACCCGGTTTCTTTTAGAAATTGGATCGAGGGTTCTGATCCTTTAGTCATGCCAAAGCGCAACGATGAAAAATTTGTTTTTGATGACGGAGAAGACGAAGACAGGGAAGATCCAGTGGCCATTAGAGATGGCTCCGATGAAGACGAAGACGATGAAGAGGCTAATGAAGATCTTAGCTTGAAGATATTAGAGAAAGCTTTATCGAGGCGTGATTCAAAGGAGACAAGTATGTCGGATCTCTGCGGCTCTGGTGTAGTAAGTACTGTGATGGTCAATGGAGGAACTTTTAAGAAGATGACGAGAAACAATCTAGAAGATACCCACCAAAATGTCAGTATGAACGGTTCTCTTCTCTATCATAACTTTGAAATCAGTCGTCTTCGAATTGCAATTTGTTATTTGTTTAGGAAAGTTTGATGCTTGTGGTTTGATGCTCTTCGATTTTTTTCCTAAATTGTATCAGTCCATTACTCTAAAAGACCAAGAAGAAGATAACATGGTGGAAGAATTAATAACAAAAGGGGAAGAGGATGTTGATGATGAGGTTGAGAGATCTGCTGAACCAAAACCTGGAGAAACATCTAGCAATATGGTTTTGAAAAAGCTTCTTGTGAGTTGAAAAAACACGGCTCTTATCTCTCATTTTGTGTTTTTGTGGGAAAACAAAACTTTATATTACTTCTCTGTGATGACTCTTGTTGAGGGTCTTGTGTTATCAGCGTGGCGCTAGGTACTTTGACCCTCCTGATGCTGGTTGGGTGAGTTGCTATAGTTGTGGGGAGCAAGGTCATATAACTGTCAATTGTCCAACTCCCACAAAGCGTAGGAAGCCTTGCTTTATATGCGGGAGTTTGGAACATGGTGCAAAGCAGTGTACAAAGGTGCGGTCTTAAGCGTAATTGTATACTTTTTATGTGGCTGCCTCGCTCTTCTATTCTCCAATATAGTCCTTAAGAATCATGTATAAGCTCGCGGAAGTGTTTTAGTGTAGTTACCATGGAAGATCTAGGACGACTAGTTTGGTTATTGCATAGGGTTGCTGAGTGAATGTTTGATTCCTTATTTTCTGCAGGGACACGATTGTTATATTTGCAAAAAAGGTGGCCACCGGGCGAAAGATTGTCCGGATAAGTACAAGAGCGGGTCTAAAAGAGCCGTATGTTTAAGATGTGGAGATTTTGGACATGACATGATTTTGTGCAAGTATGAGTACTCTAAGGATGATTTGAAGGTAACGTTGGTCCCATCAGATTCATTTCTCTTGCTTATGATTGAGGATTTATCATTTTTTCATGACTCTCTTTAACTTGAGGATGTATCCTCTACTACCCAGCGGCTTTCACGTTTCTTGATTTTCTGATTGGTTTAGTATAATTACATTATATGATAGAGATCAGACAAATGGTGCTAATGCTTTGCCCTATTTACTTTGACCAGGATATACAATGCTATGTCTGTAAAAGCTTCGGCCATCTCTGCTGTGTCGAACCGGGTAACACACCATCATGGGCTGTCTCTTGCTACAGATGTGGCCAACTTGGTCACATTGGACTGGTAAGTTGTTGAGATTTTAAACTTGAATCATCTACACCGTTGATTGAGTTTGCGTCTCTGAACAGAATATATCTATTCTCATTTTAGCTAAAATAAAGATGCTGGGTTCATTATCTAACTAAAATATGTCTCTAGGCATGTGGTAGATACTATGAGGAAAGCACTGAAAAAGATTCTGCCAGTTCATGCTTTAGGTGTGGGGAAGAAGGGCATTTCTCACGCGAATGCCCGAATTCGTCGATCATAAGCACTTCACAGGGCAGAGGCTCACCAAGTTTATGCTACAGATGTGATGGAGCAGGACATTTTGCTCGTGAATGCCCGAATTCCTCCCAGGTAGGCTTTACCTCTCTCTCCATTTGGTGCTTTGAGATCTTCACTTGTTTCCTGTCTCGCTCTTGTTATGACTCAGCGTTCCTTTTTTTCTACATGTAGGTTTCTAAGAGGAGCCGCGAGCCATCTACACCGTCAAGCAAGCCCCACAAGAAAATTAAAGAAAACCCGGAAGATGTTTCTACTCCCCTTGAATCCAACGGGAAGACAAAGAAGAAGAAGAAGAAGAAGAAGAATAAAGAAAACTCGGAACTCAATTCTACCCCACATGAATCCAACGGGATGACAAAGACGAAGAAGAAGAAGAAAGAAAACTCTGAACCCAATTCTACTCCCCATGAATCCAACGGGAAGACGAAGAAGAAGAAAAGTCATAAAGGAGAACAGTCCCAGACTACACCACATATATCAAATCACAGAGGCGGTTGGATGAGAGAAGATCTGGAAGAAGAAGATTCTTTCCAAAGAGGGAAGATAAGGAGGCCAAGATCTCCCATTACACCATCAGGTCACAACCACCATAGGTCTCCCATTACACCATCAGGTCATAACCACCATAGGTCTCCCATCAAACCATTGGGTCGCTACAACCTTAGGTCATCAACATTCAACTCCGGTGGGCATTACTCGGGTTCTCAGCCGACCACACCTTATGGTAGTAGAAACCATAGAAACTCATCATTCGGGTCTAGTGGGCATCTCTCGGGTCCTCCAGCTTCAAGGTGGCAGCCTTATTATACTCCTTCCCATCATCACGATCATCATCAGCATCAGCAGCACAGATATGCACCTGCGCCCTCAAGGTATGGTCCGGCTCGCCAATATGGCGAGTTTCCAGGGAACCATGATCGGTGGTAGTATCAAAGCCGCAGATGATTTTGCTCGAAATCTATTATGCTTGATGGTGTTTGTTGGGATCAAAGGTTATCTTCTCTAAATCTCCTGTATTTGATTTGGGTTTTTGGGGTTTAGATTCTTGTTGTTTTGTTTTCTTCTGTTTACACAAGTAGTTTGTTTAGTCCTTCATTTCCCCACCCAAGTCAGATAACTTCTTTTTTAATTGAAACTCGTAAAAGCGAATTTTGTAGTTGTTATCAAGTATGATTTCATTTTATAAATTTGATTATTGGAAAACAGTAAGAAAGAAGCCAATCTCCAGATTGATTTTCAATGTAGAAGCTAATAAACTTGATGTATTACTCATAATCTCGAGTTAGCTCTTAATTGCCACTCCAAATAGCTCTCAATGATGTCAAGGCCACATAGCTCCTTCACAACGGGCATTGTAGCCGGAACCGGCAACTGAAACGTCGAACCTGAACCATCCTCACCTTTCCACATCCTTAGCTGCTTCCGTGCTTCTTTGACCGCCTCTCTTGTCGCGCAGTGAACGGAAGCTGCCAGTAGCAACGGAGGCTCTCCCGAAGCTGTCATTTACGTATGATCAAATAAATTTAGATTGGAAGTTTTTGATACTGGTTTTGTGTACGAACGAACGATGATGACTGACCTTTAGAAGAGAGTACACGTTTTTCATGGCATCCACTGTTTAGTATCTCGACGTTGAATCGTCTAGGAATGGTGTCTATAGTAGGGATCTTGTATGTCCATGTGCCGTCTGTCACAACGAGTCCTTCTGAATCTGTTATGTACTCTTCAAGCATGAAAAAGCCAAGTCCTTGTACAAAAGCTCCTTCAATCTGAAGAACAGCAGAAAAACATTTCACAAAAGGGATTGTAGGTGAAGAAGAACCAATGTGGCTTTGTTTGTTCTCTTCATTCATATTACCTGTCCTAAATCAACAGCTGGATTTAGACTTTTTCCACAATCATATAAGATATCTGTCTGTACAACCGTTGTTTGTCCAGTCACAAGGTCTACTTCAACCTATATTAAGCACCATTGAAACACCAAAGTTACTTCATTTCCACCCTCAAAGTTAGTTTTCAAATAACTGAGAAAAGAAACCGGAACTTGCCTCGCTAACTGCAACACCGTAGTTCAGGTATCGCGTGGGAGTTTCTTGTGGAGTATACAAGTCGCTAGCTGATAAGTTCACGGATTGAGCATAGGCCTGCGTTTGGAAACATGAAGAATCAAGAATGAAAATCAAGATACATGATCAAGAAATAATGCGTTTAGAAACAAAAAGAATCAAGAATCAAGAATCAAAATCAAGAAACATGATCAAGAAGCAATGCGTTGGACACAAGAATCAATAAGCAATGCGTTGGACACAAGAATCAAGAAGCAATGCGTTGGACACAAGAATCAAGAAGCAGTGCGTTTAAAAACAAGAAGCAGTGCGTTTAGAAACAAGAAGAATCAAGAAGCAGGGAGAGTCGAGAAAGACAAACCTGAGAAATCAGCTTATTCCAGCTGATGGGACCACCCGACTTCTCCATTAAAGGTTTCAATCTTTTGACTAAGGTTTCGCAGCAGAGACGAACAGCTGCGCAGCTTCCCTCGGAGGTTGTGCTGCCTCCTGTAAAGTTTCCTTGTACCATACTCAATGTATCTGATTGTACAACTCTTATCTTCTCCACGAGATCTTCAGCACCATCGCATTGCAGCAAACCAAGAATATAACCAGTCATTTGCTTCACCTTTGTCCATAGCCCTTGTCCAAGCTCTATTCCACCAACCTCAACAATGATCGAGCCATCGCTCAAAACACTTACTCTCCCTGGAGTTGCAAACATGGAAACCGGATAAATACTGGGTACTCGAGATATCCCTCGTTTCTTCCATATGTTAGACTCGTTGAACTCTTTAACAATCGAAACCCGCTCTTCAAAGTTAGAAGATACACCCAAGTTATCCCACATGGAAGACAAAGTATACTCATGTGGTTCACCAGCACCATCCTTGTAGAACAGAGCTAAGCTCTCATAGGTATGGAGATTGATCTTTCTTATGGTATCAGTCTCCAAGGAGAGACTAGAGCCTACGTTTTCGATAATGGCTTCAGCGATATAAGTACCCTGCACATCCCCTGGTGCTCTCATGATTGCTTTGCTTAGAAGATTCGTTTTACAAAGTTTGATATCAAAAGATAAGGCTCCCCAATTGTACTTCTTTAGCGCCCCTATGATATTTGTTGGCATTAACATACTTAGACCGAGTGTTGCCCCTGCATCAATTAGTATTTCTAGCTCCAAAGCTGTGATCTTCCCTGTGGATTTGAATCCTACAGTGTACGTAATCTTCATAGGATGCCTTCCACCAGTCATGATCATATCGGTCTTTCGGTTTACATATGTCCTCACAGGACGCTGCAGTTTATTAGCAGCAACCGCGCACGCTGTTGCAACCTGAGACAATGCATAGCTTTTGAGGTTGGTTTCTTGGTCCATTTCTTGAAAAAAATTGGATAATTCTTGAAACTTACAGGCATTGCTTTGACAGCTTTTCCTCCAAAACCTCCACCGACACGTCTTGTTATGACACGGACGTTGTTTTCAGGGATACCGAGGCAAGTAGCGACCGAGGATTGTACATACTGAGGGGTCTGACATGAACTATAGACTACAATGGAGTTGTCTTCATCTGGTACTACAAGAGCTGTTTGTGTCTCCATGTAGAAGAAGTATTGTGACCCGAGTCTAATCTGTTTCACCTTCAAAGTTATAAAGATTGAACATATATATAATTTAGAAACGTTCAAGAAGAAGATACTATATTACATACTTGTGAGCTGAGAATTCGATGATCAGCTTCAGCCATTCCTTTTGATGTGTCTCCAACTTGTTGTGGGTATAAGAAAGGGTAAATCTCGAACATGCTCGATTTCTTGATCGCGTCTTCCACAGATAAGACCGGTGGGTCCAAATCCTCTGTTTCGTATTCAACCACTGCAAGATTGGCTGCAGTATCCGCGTGTCTCTGCGTATCTGCGACCACTACGGCGATGCATTGGCCTACATGAACGGTGAACTCCTCCGCGAATAAAGGCTCAATGCCAAATCCAAACTTCATACCAACATTCTGTCCACCTTTAGGAACATCTTTACAAGAAATGACTTCAAGAACTCCATCAAGAACCGAGTTTTCCTTGAACCGAATACCTTTTATCCTCGCATATGGATTTTTGCTATAGATGAAAGCTCCATAGAGGCAGTTTTCAGGCGCTGGAATGTCGTCCACATAAACAGCCTCACCGGAAGCTTGAAGAGAGGCTCCAGATTTAGCAATAGGCTCACCAATTGGATAATACTCATTGTTTAAAGGAACCTTTTGTGAAGAAGACAACATTGGCATTGGTTTTGGCTGATCCAAGTGCTGACCATTTGAAGGTTTATCTGTTATTAAGGAGTGGAAGAACTCGAAAAGAAAGCCCGGCGCTAAGCTTGACCTGTAAGCAAGATTACTTGTACCGTCTTGAGGCACAATGATCTTGCCAAGTAAGGTAATTGCTTCATGAAGAACATTTTCAGTGGTCACTTTCCCTGAGAGGAACTCTTCAACTTCCTTACACCTTATGGCGTGTTTGGTCCCGTAAGCCCCGAAAGCCAATCTACAGCTAATCACCATTGTATCCTTCACTTGAGCCAAGAAAGCAGCATTCAAATAAGCCAGAGCACTTCCATTAGGACGCGGTGCAGCTCTATAGGTTTCAAAGATCAGTTCAGTGTTTGTTTCACAAGTTTCAAACGGAATCTCGATACTCAAGACCAGATCATAAGCCTCGAGAGGATTACTATGAAGGAACTCTTCAAGTGTTAGCTTTTCAAGTCCTCTTAACAAACTCATTATGTTAACAAATGCACCAGCTGCAAGAAGTATCGTAGCCATATCAGAAGGAAACTGTTTCCTCTGAGCCATTACAAGGTTTCCTCCAATGCTACCAAAGTTCCTAATAAACCTCGCAGCTATCTTCTCCATATGAGTAGCAAGCTTCCCAAACATCTTTTCGACTCCAGGCGAGACCTGAATCTCCTTTAGAGAAGCTATAACTTTAGATATTGTCACAGCAGCTCCTATCTCAACCCCATTCTTGCTTTCTCTTATCTCTTTCATCTCCGGTATTCGAGTTATGTCCACGTATTTATCATAACTCCGTTCTCTTTCCTCCTTATAGTACCCATTACCAGTATTACCAGCAACCAATTTGATAGAAACTCCATCACCATTAGCCTTACAAGCTCCCAATAACCTTTGAAGCTCATCAACACTCTCAGGGCTACACCATTGATACATTCCAGAATCTATAGACTTAATCTCATCTTTCAGAAACTCTGGAAATGTACAGACACGCTTCTCACTATCAAATCGAGGTAAACTCTTATTAGAATCACCTTTCTTGCAGAAAGAGTTGAAACCAAGATCCTCAATGTCAACATCAGAAGCAAAGCTCTTGCAAGCATCAACGATGGGACGGTATCCGGTACACCGGCATAAGTTTCCTGAGACGGCTTTCTCGGCGTCAATAACAGTGAACTCAGAGGAAGATTTGGACTTTTCAGAGTCTATGAGAGCAGAGAAGAGAGAAACACACATTCCAGGTGTGCAGAAACCGCATTGAGAAGCGTGGAAACCAGAAAATCGATTGTGAATCGAGTGGAAACCGTCTCTGCTGTTCCCAAGTCCTTCTGATGTCGTGATGCTGCAATGGTTTAAGCTGCAGATGAGAGAGAGGCAAGAGCTGACTGTGAAATCTTCGACGTTTTGTTGAATAGGGTCGTATTTGGAGAGAAGAACAACACAAGCACCACATCCTCCTGAACTAAATCAAGTAGAGGAAAAGGAGAATCAAGAAATGAAGAAGAAGACGAAGAAAAGGCGGAGAATCAAGATGTACTCTCACCTTCGCCGCAGCTGAGCTTAACGCTCTTGAAAGGAGTCTGATAACGGAGGAACTCTAACAAAGTTGTTGAAGGGTCGACGGAAGAGAGGTCAAGCTCGAACCTTTGTCCATTAATGGCGAAAACCAAGCTCATCCTCTCTCTCTCTCTCTATCTCTATCTCTATCTCTATCTCACTCCCTCTGTACCTCTCTCTTCTCTGTCTCTCTCTCTATCTATATTATCACTTACTGTACGCACACGTATTCGGAATAATGTTTGTCCACGTATAAAGAGATATTGACGACTTTAATTTTGAGAGATCTTTGAATTTTGAATGGAGAAGAGACTGGACAATCGCTTTCACCACTAAATTGAGAATATTGACTTTTGTACATACATTTTGCCTACAGTTTCTTTATGTCTCAAAATGGCTAAAAATATGCCAACAAAAAGATACATACCATAATAACACGTCTTTTGACGAATTGTCTACTCTCTAGCTCCAAAAGAATAATAATGTTGCTCTTGATTGGGAAATTGGTAAAATGGGTACATATCAAAGTGGGAAGAAATTTGCTCAAAGCGATATTAAAAAGATAAGAGGAATGGGTCAAAGCGTTACAAATCTCTAAAAGTGAGTTGAGGTAAGAAAGGATTAGAGTTTCTTTCAAGAAGATGAAAAAAATCTAAATTGTGATTTGGTGTTCAGATTTTGAACCTATATACTTAAATGACTTTCTAAAAAATAAATAAAATAATATATATAAACTATACTTATAATATTTTCTATAAATATTAAATAGTATAAAATATAATTATTTTAAATCTAAAGAGTTAATTTACAAATAAAAAAGTCTAATTCCAAAATAGAGTAGAGTTTAGATCTACTCCAAATATGAAGTAGAATTTAGGTTTACTTCATTTTGGAGTTGAAAATAGAATAGAATTGAAGAGCATTTTACTCCAAAATAGCATTTGGAGTTGAAAATAGAATAGAGTTGGAGATGCTTTTAGACAATCGTAAACTAGTCTTTCTATTTTTAATAATTTTCTTTTACTTTTAATGATTTTTTTAAAAAAAATTATCAATAATTTCCTATTTTTAAATAGTTCAATTATTATATTTTTTTAAACATAAATATATTTTATAACAAAATCTTCATAATTTGCATAGATCATAAGTTTATTACATTAAAAATCCATTTGATGTTTTGTCTCGTTCATTTGTAACGTTCTTTCTTACCAATTTTTATTTATTTATTTATTTTTGTGTGTGTGCAAATCTCTTTTCTTTATTTGTTAAAAATCCATTTACCACTTTCGGCCACCAAACACATGCTTTTAAAAGTAGTGATAGAACAAAAAAAACTAAAACTTATTCGTGTGAAAACTGTATCGAATATAAAACACAAAAAGATCGAGATGACTCATGTTTTTACAGATCCACACTTTTAGTCAGAGTGAGACTGGAAGAACTTAAATAATTTAACCCCAAAAAGAACTTTAATAATAGAGATCTCAATGATTCGTGTGAAGACTATTGAATTAAACACACAAAAAATATGGAATGAATTCATATTTTACAAAAACAATATACAACACAAAAGTCTCATCATCACATATCCACTACATATTATTAAAAATAGTTGATTTGTCAACACTACAGCCAAAATTAATGCTTTTAATCTATGACATGTAAATATGATATGTCAAACTTCCTAAAATAAACGAAATGTTTTGATTAGTTGAATTAAAATTATAGAAATTATGGAATTAAAACATAAATAAACTAGATTATATTTATAATACTAAAATTAACAAATTTAAATTAACAGAAAATAAAAGTTATTATAATTTCAATTTTTTACACATATTCATAATTTCATAAAATACAATTACGAATTTTTTTCAACAATATATATATATATTATAATTTCATATAAAATGAAAAAATAATACTAAATTATCTAATAGAATAATAAAAATTCTATTTATTAATAATACTTTAAGTATGATATATTTTTATTTCAGAAAGTTATTAATTTACAAAATATATTAATACCATCTAAACAAGTTTTAAATAAACAAATTATTAAATAATACAATTTTAAATAAAATACAATCATGATAAAAATAATTTAAAGAATAAAATGTTAAAAATAATAAAATTAATCAACTTTTATTGAATTGTTTTTTTTAAAAACGTAATTTTAAATAATTTTTTTTTTCAAACCAATATTTACTAAATGAATAAAGTATATACTAATTATTATTTTATAAGATTAATAGGACCATATATTTTTCTATAACTTTTATCATCTTTTTATTGTTGTTTTAAATGTACATAACACATATGTATATATATATACATAAATTTATTTTTATTGTATATCAAAATCTTGAGAACATAAATAAAATGAAAAATAACTGAAACAATATGAATAAGAAATAAAAATTGAAGTATATAAAAATAAATCTCTCGCACTTTGTTTTACAAAGTCACTTGAAAACTTTTTAACACCTAAAAGTCATATTTCAATTTTTTTTTACAAATACACGTATATACATAAATATTAATTGTACATTAGTTGAAGTCATATGCGAACTTTTCCGTGCATGTATTTTGTTAGGACTGATTACAGACTAATTTCTATTTTAATTATTATACAATTTATATTTTTTTTAAAAATATTTATCTATTCTAAATGTAGTGAAGTGGTTGGTAAGTCCGCACATGCGTGCCAACCATCTATCCGCTCTTAAAAATAAGTAAAAATGATAAAAATTATTTCAGTTTAATTTGCAATAAATCAAGAAAAATATATACTTAATATATATTATATATGTATTTACAAATTCATATTATGTAAGACGCAAAAAAACATATTGTAGATTGTGTAAAGAGAAATCAAGCATATTATAGTAATATTCAAAAAATATTATAAAAATTTAATTATTATTTAACATAATTTTATATTTGTGATTATATATTATTACAAGTATTATAAAAATAAAGTTTTTAAAATACATTGGTTTCAAAAAGAAGTTTGTGAAATATTAAAACAATATATATACAAATATGCCAATGTTTAAAAAAATTAATCAATATTTAAATATTACAACTAATTATATATAAAAAAAATTATACCCGCACATATATGCGGGCAACCACCTAGTTGGTTCTTAAGTAATAAGAGCAAAGATGTTAGAATCATGAAGGATATCTGAATAATAAAGGTTGAAATTAAGGCAGTCCCAAAAGCGTGAAAGCCCAAACCTCCCATGTTTTGGTGATCTCAAGTGACACAAATGCAGATCTTTCAACTCTTTGTCAAACTTCTGCTTCACCATCATCACCTGTTTAACGTGAAGATACACAATCTCAGATCTCTCAACCAAACTGAAAACACGAATCTTTTTTGTCCTGACATGTTCTTCTTTTACCTGAGATGTGTTTATGCCGAGCGTTTTTGTCCACGAATCGTTTGGAACTCGACCTGTACTCTGAGTGCCTCTCGGAAGACAAGATCCGAAGTCGATTGCGCATTGTAAGATGTTCTCTATAATGTTAGATATGACTCGGGTTTCGTCAGATAGGAAACATCTGCAAGTGTTTGATAACATGCGGTTTAATCAAGTAAGTCAAAACTACAGTGCCTGAACCCTGAAACCGATAGAAAACATGACTTACATGCGCAGAGCTTCACTTAGATAAGCCATATGCACAGACTCAAGATCCATCATATCCTTGACCTGAAAAATCAGAGGAAGTGGGATGTTTAATTCTTATGCAGGAAACCAATTAAAGAGAAATCCGCTACTGAAATTGTAATATCAGTAACACACTAAGCACTTTGGTTTTAGTGTAGCTAAGCAATGATGCTAAACCGAAACTATGGTGACATAAGTTTGCTAGAAAGAAAGAATCTTACTTTTCGGTAACATAACATTTCAACAAGCCATTATCATAGAAGCAAATTTATATTGACCATATAAACTGTAGAGTGTTAATGTGCCCACCTGATGCTTCAGGGAATGAAGGAACTTGGACCATGATACGTGAGACAATTCCGAATGTACATATTGCTGTAGTGTTGATACAAAATGGTTGACCTGATGCCTGGCACACAAAAGAGATACGTCAAAAAGATACACAGGAGACGTAGAGACTCCCTGATCTGAAATATGTATTGCGTATAATACAAACACGGTGATGACGGAACAATACAAATGTTTATCCAAAGATTTTCAGCAGTTTCACAGGTATTACATATATTGAAATCAATGCTTTCTGTTACTTCTATAATGGTCATGCCAGAAGAAAATGATCATGCAGTCGCATTGCCAAATAGACACTTTACTCAATGAGTCATGAGAAAATTTTGAATTTACCTTAATTTCATCAATATGTTTAACCACCGGAGTTCTTGCTTTGCCATCCCCTCTTTCTTCTCTTGCATCGTATGACGTACATCCTAAAACGACATCACAATTATTATGCCATCAAAATCCTAGAAGGTGAATAATTGTACAAGAAATATCAGGCAGGACAATAAAACAGATTTCAAATAACATTTTTCAGTGAAGAATTTAGAAAACTGCTACTCTTATGCATCTTTTTCTCTCACATCCTAAAAGGAAAGAATAGTCATTGTGCCATCAAGTCGTGCACAACAAAAACAATTTATTGTGCCATCAAAATCCCAAAGGATGAATATATATCAAGCAGAAGTTTTAAAAAGATTTCAAAAAAATCTCCCCACGAAGAATTTAGAAAATTTAAACAATCAACAGAGTTCTGAACCTTTTACCTTCACTGAACACCAGGCATCAGTTAATGCATATGCTGCCAGTTTCACTTGAACCAGAAAACTAAATACATCAGCATATGCTTTCAGCGCATCACATGTTAAAACTATACTGATTGGCCAGTCAACTCGGTACCCCAACCCTACGAAATCAAAAGAACGCACTCCTGCAAATTTCCAAACATCAGTATCAGATTAACAATTCACCACGGACATTAGTAACTAATTTGCGAGAAGTACAAGACCATACCAATGGTTGATGGCGGAAGATGCATTGTGCCTTGTCTTTTGTACAAAAATAGCCTGTCCTTACAAGTATCTCGTTCACATGACGATCTCTGTATTGATGATTCTAGAAACCCTTGGATTTCTGAAATTCTCTTATCTGCTTCTGTAACAAGCCATTTCTGGGAATCATCCAAACGAGAGACCATATATATAAGCATCACCTAGAGATGTTGAATAGAATCATCACAATAAAATAGATTGATAGCAGACGTACATGATGCCAAAGTGTCACTACAAATACATCTGCCCAATCTGCTAGCTCCATAAATTGATATCTGCGTAGAGCTAGCAGATGTTCTTGCAAGCCAAATCCTTCTTCGAGCAATTTGATAGCTAGCTTACTGACATAGTTATATCTTTTTTTTGTTAAGCGAAAAGTGATAAGTGAATCGTCATGACATGTTATCATGAGAAAAAGACCCGTAAAAGAGAAAATAACAACCAAATGTCAAATTATAAATCTAAACAGGTATATCTACAGCAAATGAAAGCATCTAGAAGGATACTGAAGACGTATTTCCTGCAGTAGACACTTGTCTATAACAAAATCAAGTGGTAATTCAAATGTGCCGGAGGAGCTCTGTCTGCAATCACTAGATGCACTAGTTTCAGGGTCATTTGATCTGAGAAGCATACCCTCCCATCTACTTCCACCATATGCGTTTGATTTTTTCTCTTCAATGCAACCTTGTGAACCCGGAGATAAATGACTGCAAGAAACTATACGATCTTCAACATCAACCCTATCTATCCCACTTTCTTGGTTGGCCTGCCGATGACTCTTTCTATCAGTCTGAGAACTATGAGATTCCACGTGAAAATCAACATGAGATCCTACAGGTATCCTGGCAAGACACTTTTTGGAAGGATCATCCACCGCAGAAAAATCGAACCAGGGCAATGATTTCCCCTGGTCCCTGCTGTTTGTGGTTCCATGCTTGCCCAAGAAATCACATCTCAGCAAAGGATTCATGCTGAGCACCTCGTAAGGGTACTTCACCGTTGTACCTTTCAACAAATTATGCTTTCTCTCCTGCTTTGAATAACTACCACCGGTCGGAATGTTGTTTGATAATTGCGTGCTTTCAACAGTATTCAGTAAGTGCCTCTGTTCAATCTTATCTCCCGAAACACTAGGTGGAAATTCTTTCTCATCTTCCACGTACTTCTCAGCACAAAATGGATTTCTAGGTAATCCGCCAAAGGGCCATGACTTGATAGAAAGAAGACCTCTAAATTTATCATCCTCACATACTTCAGTCGACTCTTCTGGCTCAGTATCAGGCTTCACACCTTTCCTCACACAATTATTTTCTGTATAACCTACTTCACCATGCTGAACCAGATTCTGATAGGCAACAGAGAAACGTAGAGCTGATAAATAACTTTGTGAAGGCATTAATGTACTTTGTGAATCAAGGATTCCAACATCATATACTTCCAAAGAATCCCTAGTGGATGAACATTCAGATGAGCATGACGCATCTATCTCTGAAAACCATATGTCATCTGTTTTCTGGTCATCAGAATCCGAACAACTCAGGTCCCTGAAATCCCAAGAAAATGTCATCAATTCATGTTTAGCAGAATAGAGTAAATGATAAACTGAATCAGGAAGAACACCTGGTCAAGTCCATTGCCTCTGCTGAAGGATTTAGTAAACTCTCATCCAGTATGAAATAAACGGAACTTTTTTGAATATTTCCTCTGTCGCCATTGGATATTGGTAAAGAGATTGCTCCAGGAACCTAACATTAAAATGTTGATAAAACTGAAAAAATTAGAGCAGACATAATTTCTCGATAGCTTTAAACGCAACCAAAATATTTGATCTCGTTCGAGATATACAATACACATGATTCCTAGAAAAGAACTAGACAACATATACAAACAAAGAATTCAACTGAACTTATTAGTAAGATATGAAGTTACTAAGGGAAAACTGATTTCACAACAAAGTAAAACCACCTATGGCCAATTAAACGAGTAAAGTCAGAGCTATCAAAGCCATGAGAGACTATCATCAAACACGTAAACCAAAAAGACCATAGCTTCGGAAATAATAGCAGAGCTAATGATTGGTATATTAAATCAAAAGAAGCGCGATACCTGCCCAATGAACAGTTCAAACTTTTTTGAAAGGTCACCAAGTTTTTTTTGAATTCTTCTGTAGTAATCGTCTCTTTTCTGTATCATCACTTCTATATGCAATTTGTTGAAAGTTATTGGAGATGGGTACGTTGAACTAGTGGTACAATAATGAGTCCAACAGGGAAGAAGATCTGCGTAATATTTGTGTCCAGATGCAGAAAGATTACACAACTCAAGAAGTTTTGTAATTACTTGGAGCTGTTGACCAGCCCTTAGTATAGGTATCAAGAAACCATCCAGGAAACATGGAACAAGCCCTCCTTCTTGCTCCTACAGTGCAGAAATGGAACCAAATCGCTATCAATGGTATAAAGATCCTAAAATCAGAGATACAGAAAACAAGAACATACTATTACCCTGACCCTCTTTAACGGGGAGACACCAGGTTTATTCCAAGAAAGAGATGTCGATTCACTTACACATTCCAAAATGAACTCCTTATGAGGATCGTTAAGTTCGGCTTTATATATCCAAGATCTTATAAACTCACAATATGGCTCACATGATTTGAGGAACAAAAACTTAAGCATAGCACTATGAGCAGAATCAGCAACCTAGAACAAAATATGTTGTGAAGAGATAGTCAGAACAAAAGATTTAAATAGCACAAACTCGTGGCTCAGTATATATAGTTTAAGCAAGTGTGAATTCCAGACTCGTCAGGCTATGTATTTCACTTACTCTAAGCATAACTTGCACAGTCAATCACCATATCAAGTGGTCCACATCAAAAGGTGCATAGAATTATTTAATGCCATCTATAAACTAGAAATCCAGGAGGTAATATTGGTAGCCTAAGGAGTACAGAGATGCAAAAACTAATGACACAAACAAACGAGCACTGAAATGTGAAAATAACTGACACCGAAGGTGCCTCTATAGTACATTAACTGATAACTATGTGCATCAGGAAAGAATAAAAAACAAAGAGGATGAATATTAGAGGAGGAACATATTTTAGCCTGACCTTCAGTTGTGAATATAAGTAAGTAAGCAGGTCGCTTCCTCTGTAGAACCCATGAAATCCCGCGGTTGCTTCAGTAATCAGACATTCCCAAGGAGAGCCACAGTAAGATAGGGATATATCATACAAACCACATATGTTCGCAAGAGCGTCAATCTGTGTTCGTAACTCTATCGTATGTAGAAAAACATCCAATAATGTTATATTTTGATGAACGACGTTTGTAAGGCAGCCTAGCCAAGAGGACTCGTGGTCAGACCTATCCACAATGTTTGATGAACGCCTCAGTTCTATCGACGCACATAACGTATCCAGTCCAGATACATAGCCTTCTAGGACCTTTCTCACAGCAATAGCAAAAGCCTGATTAACAAGTGTATAGCAGCTCTTGCTGTTGGGTTCTTCATTTTCACCTAAATTATAGCTCCCTTGTGCTGTTTCCACCTCCAAATCCAAGCTTGTGAAATGGTCTACGAACTTATGGAGAAGAAAGACCAAAGAACCAAAGCAGCCTATATTTCTAAGAATCTGTCCCAACGCATCAGTGCTTGACAATCGATGCCATAAGCTCGGAATTGTGTGGGTGGTCCTATCAGCTGGCTCAGAGCATAATACAGAAGAGAGCTTCTCTATGCTAATAAGAGAAGACTCAACACCTTGGAGAGCATTCAACGCCAACCTGACCAAGCTCGATTCCTATTACAAAGAAATCAGAATTTGCAGCAGAAAGGAGCATTAGCAAATGACACACTATCATCACACTGAATTCGGAACACAAAACCCTAGATTGATCCTGACAAAACTCAATAAAAAAAATCACTCACTAAAATTGATACTTTAACCAAATCCACTATTGGGTTTTCGATCCACGCCATAAAGTTACTAGAAGCAAATAGATATTCACGCAAGAGCGAAATGTTAGTTCTTCTTTCTACACATACAAACTTGAAAAGTGTAAATCGCTTGCGGCTCTAAACTTACAGAGACAGAGGAAGAAGACGACGGAGAAGCAGAAGCACGAGGAGGAAATCTACCGCTCTGAGAATGTAAGGATTCCCAATTTCGCGGTGGAAGGTAAGGCTCCTCCACTTTGAGCTTCTCCAGCAGCGAAGCGAGGCTCGTCGCCACCACCATTATTTTACTCGACGGCAAATTTCGAACAGTTGAAACTGAGAAGAAATCCCAATAGCAAAATTGCAGGATAAACAATCACTGAAAAGTCGAAACCAGATATTTAGCAGAAACACTGAAATTGTTTAACGATGAGCTCCGGAAAAAACCAAAATAATTACCGGAAATTAATAAAAGAGATTTACATATTTAGGCATTTTATCCCAAACTGGAAATATATTGATTTAATATTTCCTTTTCTCTCTCTTTTGTGCTAGTTCATATTTGGGGAAGTCCGTGCTTAGATTTGTTAGAGCACCTCCATCAGAACATCTTAGTTGATTTTTAGACAGTTGCTTAAGTGAAAAAAATAAAATAAAAATCGTTTTTGTCTCAATTTTACAAGAATCGAGTCTTGAAGAAGAGGTTTAAGAATTGTTAAAAACCTCTAATGTGTCATTGTATTAATGGTTAAACTATTTTAACAAAAACAAAAAATAAATCATATATGTTATCTCTTTTTTTTTCTCTTCGTTTTTTTTTCATTGATGATCAAAATCAAAAGATTATTTGGCTCTTTAAATCTGTCGACTACCGACCAAATCGGTGGCACTGGGCTGCATAAATGGGATTGCTTTAGATCGATCAAAGCTCTGCGTTGGGCTTGGTTCTTCGAATCCATCAACGGGAATCCATCGACGGAGGGACCAAATTGGTGGCACGGGGATTCTGATTCTGATTTACAACCGATTTCAACCCATCCTCAAGAGTAAAGTCCTTAATCTCTATCATAGATTCATGCACATCACTTCGTGTTTTAGTATATTGGATTCAGTCTGATGATTTTGCTTTTCCAATTTATCCATCAAGCCTTTCTGCTCGCAAAACTGTGATTTTATTTACGATGCAGTGAGTGGATTGCTTTGGGCTCAATGTTATTGTCTTTGTTTGATTACTTTTACAGCCATAGAGCCTCCTCTGATTATCTCTAGCTTGTGTGTTTGCAGTGATATAAACTTTTTTCGACATCTCCAAAGCCAAACGGGATTTTATTGAGGCTGATGAAGCTGAGGAGCTTTTCAGCGTGATTTCAGCAGAAATAAAGGAGGTGGTTCTCATAGGGATTGCTCTTGATGATGAAAAGAGAGTAGAATTTAACAAAATTGAACAGGTTTGTTTTTTAAGCTGTTGACAAATAAATGTAAAGCTTGTTTAGTGATTTGTTCTATGTTTTCATATGCTTACTCGATTCAATGTTTAGTACTTCCTGGGATCCAGCTGTTCAAGGCAACATGTTGACGAAGTCAGCTACAGCATGCCTATCAAAAACAATACTTTGATGTTGATTTTCCTGGTTTGTCTCACTGTGGTTCGTTCTCTTTGCTTCTTTGTTTCTCGTTCAAGTTTTGAATTAAAAAATTAGGGAGTCTTCGATGTTATATTCAGTGATGTTCATGTCAATTTCTAGTGCCTTAAGGTTGCAAAGGAAGGTACAACAATGCTGCCTCCGAGCTCTACGTTTGTGCTAACTAGGTATTCTTCTGTCTTCACCTCTTATTTTATCATTGATGAATGGTTTACAAAGTTGTAATTTAGGTTCTATGGTTGTGGTGTTATAAATGCTTGTTAGTTAAGGACATGTTTTCAGAGTATGGTTGTTAAATGCTTGTCATATTAGAACCAGAACTAGACTGGTTTTAGTTTGGTTTTGTCATTGAAATTGTGATAACTGGTTTTCACATCGCCTCTTGTAATTGTGTTTAGTTTGGTTTGGTTTTGTTTGGACTGGTTTTACTACTTGCAATTGAGATAAATGTTTGTCACGTCGTCTTTTGTGATCAATGTGTGTTAGTTGTAGATTAGGCAAATACATAAGTGCCATTGAATGTTTAAAACTACCAAAGACACTTGCAATTTTTTCTATATATTAAACTATAAACCACCACTTCTCTTCATCGCTTAATTTATATTTCTTAAACATAGTTTATGGATCCATTTACTCCGTTTTCTATGGATTCATGTAGTCACCCTTCTAATTTCATAGATCTTTTAAATAGCCAACAAGAACCTCAAATTCCTGAGAGTTTTTCCCCTACTATGGGAATTGGATCATCACAAGTTTCACGGTTTGTTACCCAAATGAGTGAGGATCCTGAGCAACTTCAAGAGATACATGAGGACGTAGAGAAAGGCTCAAATGGACTCCAACTGACGATATTGTGCTATGCAGCTCGTGCCTAAACACAAGCAAAGATGTCGTTGTGGGGAATGAGCAAAAAGGATCAGCATTTTAAAAACGTATTGCTGCTTATTTTAACGCATCTCCTAAGCTTGCTGGTTTTCAAAAGCGAGAGACCAGCCACTGTAAGCAAATGTGGCAGAAGATAAATGAAAATGTCTGCAAATTCGTGGGCTGCTATGAGGCTGCAAAGAGGCAGAAAACTAGTGGGTACAATGACTCTGATGTTCTAAAGGTGGCTTACGAACTCTTCTTCCATGATTACAAAGTGAAGTTCAACCTTGAGCACGCATGGATAAAGCTTCGTAATGATCAGAAGTGGTGTGACGCTTCAACATGCAAATGTGAGGGAAGTTCAAAAAAAAGGAAGGTTGATGTTCAATCTGAAAGCTCACACACAGTCACGCAACCAAAGGATCAACCAATGGCTCGTCCCGAGGGTGTGAAGGCAGCTAAAGCCAAAGGCAAAAGAAGTGTAAGCAAGCCATGTACAATGAATAGCAAATCCACTCTGTTGGAGTTTCAGAACATGTGGACCATTAAGGAGAAGGAATTAGCTATAAAACAAAGAGTGTCCATGGCGGGACTGTTAGAAAGTCTCATTGCAGAAAAAGAACCACTTTCAGAGATGGAAGTAGCTCCGAAGAACAAGCTAATAACTGACATGCTTTCTATTTAGTGAACTTTGTATTCGCATGAGCTTTTAGTTTAACTTTTATTGTACTAGATCGGAGACAGTTTAAGTGTTGTTTGTGATGAATGCTTGTTTGTTTAAGTGTTGTTACTTTCTGTGTAAGAAATGCCACTTTCTGTTTGTGAAATGAATGAAGCCTTTTTCATCTTTCTTTCTTTGTTTTGGGTTTATGAATCCTCAAGAATTGTCTCAGATTTTTTTTGTAATGAATGAAGCCTGTATGTAATGTATGTTTCTTGATTTTTCTCTGAATGTCCGGTTTGTGATTTATCTTATCGATTTTAATCTTGTAAAAACAGAATCATCTGCAAATTCTCTAATCTTGTGTTTTGATTTGGCTAGTTACAGATATAAACGAATGTAAAGAGAGTATGGTGCAACAATAGTGAAGACACTCAGTGACAAAAATCATTTGTTATACAGGTTTTCTTTAATTTGAAGACATACAACAAAAGACATGTGGAATTCAGAAACCACAAAGGAGACACCCGTGACATAATCTTTTTTTTGCCAGCTTTTTTTATTTTTGCCAGCACCCGTGACATAATCACCCGTGAGAGAATCATTTATTTTTTCTCTCTGTTTTGTAGCTTTGTGTTACACACCCGTGAGAGAGTATTTTGCTATATATGTCATTCATAGTTTTTATACAATCCACTTCTTACAAACACAATTAATCTATGTCTTCTTTCTTACCATATTGTTCTATATAGTTCTTTTTTTTCTACAAAAACTAATAATTTCTTGCAAATGGCATCTTCTTCTCGTAATTCGAAAGAATTAGACGACTTATTTGAGCAAGGATTCGATGAAAAATTCGATAATGTGTTCAATAGTTATGTTCTGCCTACAGAAGAAAAGAAAAAAAGGCGATATATAGAAAGAGAATGCGAGCAAGGCCACAATCGCTTATGGAACGATTATTTCTGGGAAGATGCAACATACCCATCTTATTTGTTCCGACGACGTTTCAGAATGAACAAGCACTTGTTCATGAAAATAGTTGATCGACTCTCCACTGAAGTTCCATATTTTCAACAAAGAAGAGATGCTACCGGAAAGTTTGGTCTATCCGGACTACAAAAATGTACAGCAGCTATCCGTATTATGGCATATAGTTGTGCGGCTGACAAGGTTGACGAATACCTTCGGCTCGGTGAAAGTACTGCACTCTTATGCTTGGAAAATTTCGTGGAAGCAATATCTAAGAAGACGTACACCAGATGATCTTCAACGGCTACTCCATGTTGGAGAAGTACGCGGATTTCCCGGGATGATAGGGAGCATCGATTGTATGCATTGGGAGTGGAAGAACTGCCCCACCGCTTGGAAGGGGCAATATACCCGTAGATCTGGAAAACCAACAATTGTTTTAGAGGCTGTAGCTTCACATGATCTCTGGATTTGGCACGCGTTTTTTGGATCTCCAAGTACTTTAAACGATATCAATGTACTTGATCGCTCACCAGTATCTGATGACATTTTAGAAGGTCGAGCTCCATCAGTGAATTACTTTGTCAATAGATACGAATATCATTTGGCATACTATCTCACGGGTGGTATTTATCCAAAATGGGCAACTTTTATCCAATCAATTCCAATTCCTCAAGATCCTAAAGCATCGTTATTTGCTACAAATCAAGAATCTGTCCGAAAAGATGTTGAACGTGCTTTTGGAGTCTTGCAAGCTCGATTTGCGATTGTCAAAAACCCGGCTCTTTTTTTGGGATAAGGTAAAAATTGGAAAAATAATGAGAGCATGTATCATACTTCACAATATGATAGTTGAAAACGAACGAGATGGATACACTCATTTTAATGCATCGGAATTTGAACAAGGAGAAGAAAACAGAACTGCACAAGTGGATTATACGTACTCTACCGATATGCCTACAAATCTCCTCAATATGATGGCCAATCGAGATCAAGTCCGTGATAAAATAATGCATCAACAATTGAAAGCCGATCTGGTGGAGCATATATGGCAAAAATTTGGCACAAATTAAGATTACAACTGAATGTTTTTTTTATTTATAATTTGCAAATCTCTATTTTAAATGTTTTTATATGACTTGTATGTTTCAAATTTCATTAAATGCAATATATTTAAGTTTTATTAATTGTATTTTGTTTACAATAAAAAATTTCATAATATATATTTTTTTTATGAATCGCATTAAGAATTCTACCAATGGAAGACCAAAAAATTAAAATTAAGTGCAAGAGTTCTTAAAAGAAAAAAGATGAAAAATTTATATTAAAAAATGCTTAAGAAACCCCATATGGATATCACCAATGGAGATGGTTATATTCTGATATCATACAATAATAATATTTATATTGTAATATGTTTGTTTAATA